CAAAGTGCTACTGTTCTGATTATCAAATGCATGAGTTGACTATGAAACCGTGGCCTTATATAACAGGCTTTTTTTTGGAGTTGCTGGGAATGACAATATATTGTAATAGTAGCATACATTTGAGATATTTAGGGAACATTTGTCAATGGTTGAGTCTGCCCATTGTCTTTATATGTAATTCACAATGGCATGGCGACCAAAAATTGTGGGGAAGTCTTAGAGCCCGTGTCCACATAGCGCCTCTTTCTGAGAGCAAGCATCTTTTTTTATTGATTGTTAAAGAACATAGATCCAGCCAACTTTCCTAAGCGCCGGTGAAGTCACTGTAGTAAATTGGTGGAGAGCTTGTTTGTGACGGTGTCTTAAAGATGGAACCTATTATAACAAGACCAAAAAAACGTTTGTTGGAGGAGATTGTTTGGCGTAAACTATGTCAAACACATATAGAAGCACAAACATAAAATAAAATCATCCGGAGGCTAGTCTGTCATACATCAGAGCTGCCAGCTCCTTCCTGCCACGTGGACACAGGCCCTTAGAGTTCTTTAGCCTCCATCGAGACAACCTAAAGGTGTTTATTGTTTAACTTAAGGTTATGATCTTTGGAAGGAGACAATCATTACCTATAAATACATCGAATAGTAAGATGTGTACAAAACCTACATATGCCTTATTAGAAAATAAATGTTCCTGAGGTCATGTGGGACCCTTCCTGTCCAGCAGTGGGGGTGCAGGTGTTGTTGACAGAGCCCTGCGGAGCCCTCACTTGGCTCTGCTGTGGCTCTTATTTAGCATTTATTCATTTATCTAATTTCCTCCCGGGGCCTTTGACTGTTTCTTGCTGCCCCTCCTTTACCCAATCACTGCTAACAGGACAGCTCATGCAGGTTTGGGCTGGAGCCCAGATGGTCTGCGGCTCCACTAGGACACAGGCGGGCCCCAGCAGACACAATCTGGGATAATTACAGGACTGCTTCAGGAGATGTGTAATCGCACAAGGATGCAAACACACATTTAAATTGCACTTGCAGTGCCTTCTGGGGATCTGGCCCAAATCATCCCACCTCCCCACACACACTTTCTACCTCATCCCAGGGGGGCACATAAGTACACGCTCTCCCTTCGACAGAGGGAACTTCAAGGAGCTCTGAAACTAGCTTTGGCTGCTCTTGCAGCACTTCAAGCAGCACCAGCCCAGCTCCCCCTTAACACATCCATCTGCACCCCATACTCATCTTCCCGCTCTCCATCAGTCTTGCTCCGCGTCCCTGCCCACCGCTGCACTGCCGCTATGCAGCATCCGATATCTTTACAGCCTCAAAGTCATCTCTGATCTCTATTTCTATCTTTTCCTCCAACAAGGCTCATTTTATCATTGATTTGAGCAACGCCCCAGCTGTCACACCGCATCTACTGTTTGTACGTGCATTAAAAGGCAGAACAACACACAGTTTGGCCTTGTTTTCCCTCGCCTCACCTCATCTTACCTTACACCATTATAATTTAGATTAGACGTCTCTGTTGATTGTTCAGCGAGTGTGACCGGCGTTAAATAAACTATTAATTGAGCAATGAACTTGGCTAAGGATGTGACCTAGATCTGAGGTTACGTCCAGCTGTCAGCTTATAGATGCTTTACAGAGGATTTCCTCATTAGTGTGCCACTGTGAAATTAGTTGTGACAGCAAACGCTGGCAGAAAAAAAAAAAAATCAAATTTTAATGTTCCTGGGCTCATTTCCCCACATGTTGGAATGCTTCCGGTAGACTGGTTATTACTTATGAATCAAAAACAGTGGGGAGCCAATATAATGAATATGCCAATAGAAGACAGCTTAGAACGGCCTTTGAATTTAGCTCTGTAAGCATATGCTTAAATTGTTGAAATACTTTCTCTGATGGTGGTGTCCTTACAAAAAAATGCTAAAACATGGGTTTCCTACTTACCGCCTGACAAAAGGTCCTCTCCGGCCCACTTGATGACTTTGCAGAGTATGAAAATTGCAGAAAGTTATTCCTATCTGTCAACTAAGACAGGCATTGTCCTAATTGGAGTAGCATCTCCTCTGCTTGATAGGTTATCATTAATCCCACGTGTTTACATACATTCTATTCATTATAATACTGTCAAGCTCAGGCTACTATTAATGCAGATATGGAACGTGAGAAAATGTTTGTCCAAAGGTGGATAGAGAGTTTTGGGTATTTCAGGAAGAAACCTTTTTCTTACAGAGCTATAATATTTGATGCCGCTTTCACTTTTTTTTCTGCTCTGATTGGTTAGCTAGCCGGCTCAGTGGTGATTGGTTAACCGCTTAGAGATGTCCCGCCCCTTAGCCTATCAAGTACAATATGTTGGAGCGCTAGCCGATAGAAGCGCGAGTGTTACATAGTGATGTCACTGCCTGCTTAGTTACTTACTGTTTGAATAGCAACATATTATGGCCAGAAAGAACAATGGTTTGACTGTTAGAATCTACAGTTTTCTAGAGATATACAGACCTCTGGGTCCAAATGTCAAAGCCATTGTGTGATTTCCATAAACTTGCATTATTTATAATGTTTAACGTTGGCTGACATTGCTTGTTTCAAAAATGTAAAATCGAAAAAAAGTAGAAGCCAGCTCAACTTTGATTTGTAGTGCGTGACACATGAAGGTGCACCTAAACACTGCAAAGCTATTATCAGGATAAGAATCTGAATATTTAATATTTTCCTGAGGTGAAGTTGGGTTTTGTGACTTTTGCATTTTGTGACATATGATAATAATAACATAAAAATATCTATAAAAACCCAAGAATTTTAAATAAACAATAGAAGATAAATATTCGAATTAGAATAACTATGTATATACACTATTTAAAGTAAAAGAGTGCACACTGTGCAATATATAACAACAATAAATATTTTGAATTTTTTTTTATATATGATATAATATGATAGATATAGTATGTGCTATGAGTGTACATAAGTGTGTGCTGATTTTACGCTGTCAATAATACTCCAAGTCATTTTATTTTAGTGACATCAAATGTGCAAAATCCCAAAATAATGTTTGGCTTTAAACTCTCACAGGCGTAATTTAAGATACTTTTCTTTGTGTGTGCAGTGTGGTTAATTCACGCATCTTTGACATCTATCCTAAGTGATGAAAGAGGGAGTTTGACGTGACAGAAGCGTTGGCTTTTCAAATGCGACACATTGATCAGGTTTCTGGGGTATTCCAGTGGCTGCTGTGTTAACTGAGTGATTGTCGTGCTGCTCACTGATCCAATCACTGGCTGGAATGTTCCTAGATTTCCTGCTAACAGGACATCAGGTGAAAGCACACAGACACTTTGAAAAGTAAAATACCAAAATGGAACTTTGTTTGTATGTCTCATCTTAACATGCACACTGTAACCATGTCCGTTTCTTAATTTGATCTTTCTTATTTTATGAATGTGTTAGTTTTAAACAAAAATGGTTAACTGTTGTTTGTGCTGTCTATTTGTTAGTATTTGTGAGTATTTGCGAGCAGCATGCATCTTTACGCACATGCTGATGGACAAGCTGTTTTAATGGTATGTCATTTATGCCGCGCAGCACATGACGGTTTTGTGGGCCCTCCACTGAACATTTTCTTTGCAGATTGCTCTGGGTTAAGGTAACAAAAATGGATACAAATTTAGATTCATGATTTTTACTCGAAAGGAAGGAGATCAAAATCATAATCTGAAATCTGTCAAATGAATGTAGTGGAGTAAAAAGTAAAATACTTCCCTCTAATATGTAGCACAGTCGCAATATGAAGTAGCATCAAATGGAAATACTTCAAGAACAACTACCTTGAATTTGTACTTTAGTACATCAGTTGAGTGCATTGTTACATTCCACTAGTAATTTTGACTTCAGTATCTGAATGTCACTCTTCTGAGATGGAAACCTACTGTTTTTGTTGATTTCCCATCTGTTGTCCTGGTGGATAATCTGCTTTTGGATTTACCATACTAAAAATGTTAAACTGATGGCAATAGTTTTGAAGAACTCCGATCAAACCTACTGTGTCACACTTCCCTGAAATTGTACTTATTTATGCCTCATCAATTGTCTGAAAAATGGGATTAAACCTCCCCACCTTTACCGTCTCCGTTAATTTGAGAACCTTTGCTCTTCCCTTTTTTCCATTTTACAAACACATTCTCTTTCTGTATGTTCTTGGCACTAATGAAGCTCTGAAGTGTGGACTCTGCATTAGTGATTGACTTCCCACCTGCTCTTTACTCTCTGTAACTAGCTCAAGGACACTTCCAATTAGCATCCAGGCTTTGGTACGCCAGCTCGGCTCCCTAGGCCTACCAGGGTTTGGAGCATTTGATTGTCAGTAACTTATGAACACACTGACTGCGTGGAGAGAAGCCTCAGTGCATTTCAATGTTCCTCCCTCCTTTTTCTCCCGCTTGTAACTCTCATCTCTCCAATCTTTCGACAAACTGGCAAAGCCTTTAAACAAAGTTAGATCAGTTCCCCCATTCGAAAATTATTCATGAATATTAAAACGAGGACGAGCGGAAATATATATACAGCGCATTTCGGAACACAGTCACGCGCCGGTAGTCGTCAACGTGACTATCATTTATATTCAGATTTGTTATTCCCGGTGCACACCTCGTGTCCTCTAACTCAACTGATAAGGAGCTGCTCAGTATCCGTCGGTATAACCTCGCCGTAATGCTCTTATCCCAAACAACATTGATGATTCAATGGCACTTTTTGAACCTGTCTTTCCATTCATTGTCTTTAAGTGTAGGATGAGACAAAGCAGTCAGGTCTTGAAGGGAAACGTCTTTGGAGACACCCTTGCGGTGACATTGATGATGAGTTTGCGAGAGGCAGCTCTTCCGGAACATATTTTTTCTTTGACTTACAGGAGTTCATTCGTTTTTCAGATGCTGTACCGTAAGCAAAAGTTCAGAAAAGTCAAATAAATAACTCTATGTCCCTTGTTTCACCCCGTCACAGGTCGGAGTCGTGCTGCACTACTCGTCTCTGTCGACCATGCTGTGGCTCGGGGTGACGGCCAGGAACATTTACAAGCAGGTGACCAAGAAACCTCCGCTGAGCCAGGATGGTGACCCGCCCCCGCCCCCTAAACAACCCCTATTGAGGTAATGTCTTCACGAGCCCTCTCAACCCTCACTGCCATGACACGGACATAAACTGCTGTGTGCATGTGTTTTTGTGCCTGTATTCTTATATTTCTTGATGCTTGTTGCGTGTGTCTTGAGAGGCCAAGGACTGGTTCACTCTGCAATTATTTGCTTCCCTATTTCCTCCAGTACATCACCTGGCTTAGACTCTGAGATGCAGGTGCCAGATATGATGGGATATGGACTGCATTTATATATATATATATATATATATATATATATAGCGCTTTTGCAGTCTTTGTGACACCTACAAGTCAACATTCACCCATTCACACAGATTAAAGCAGAGGCTGCCATACAACTGGCCAGATAAACTAACATTCACACATCATGGGCCACTGAGAGCAATTTAGGGTTAGGGTTAGGCCATTGGAAGCAATTTGGGGTATCTAAGGACACAAAGACATGTGGGGATCGATACACTGACCTTTCAGTTGGTAGACCACCACTCTACCCCGGAGCCACAGCCGTCCTACAATCATTCCTGTCCCACCTTGTACTTATGATTCGAAGCATTGAGGAAATAAGTATTCAAATAAAAAAAATACTCTATAAGCACATACAATTCTGAAAATAAATGGCCACTGTGACCAATTATGTTTAAGCATATTTTATATTATTGAATTGTTGATGCATTAAAGGTGGGGTAGGTAAGTTTGAGGAACCGGCTCGAGATACACTTTTTGTTATATTCCATGGAATGCTCTTAACATCCCGATAGCAATGAATATCTTAAGTGCTTTGACAAAAAATCCATAAAAAAATGTCATCTGTGGAAGCACGAAAAAGAACGACCAATCATTTTAACCGGCCCGGCTAAAATAACTGGATGGCCTACCTGCCTGTCAGCCTTCCATCTGTGCACAAACTTATCTCGTGCCCTCATTGGTCATGTGCGCGTTCGTGTGTGTTGGAGGAGGGGCTCTGTGAGGAAGTGGCAGATTTTCTCTGGTTGTGTATTTTCAAATTCTAGCGCACTCGAGCTGGTTTCTCCAAAATGACCTACCCCACCTTTAATGTAAGAATAGCATTTTGATCACGTTTTTTGCTACCTACTACAGTGGTTAGGGCCTTCTCAAAAAATTCACCCTGGGGGGGTTACAAAATAATGAATGGGGGGAAAAAAATGATGCAATTAAAAATAATTAGCTACACCCTTCTTGCATGTTTTATGAAAATTGGGCCAGTAGTTATTTTATTTGTTATTTTGGGTTTTTACATTTTTCCTGTTGACAGCCAAACCAGACAAACTTGTACCTATTTCATCAATCATAAGTTAAATAAATATAATGAGTAATTGGTTAAAAAAAAACTCACATAGATCATATGGGACCATTTCTGCACGTGGTCACAAGACAAGATCTTTAACAATGCAACTCATTTACAGATTACCGATTCGTATATTCATAGCAATTAGTTTTGGTTTCTAATAACACATTTTAAAATGGACATGGGGTTAATTGAAGGTATTGTATTCAGTCATGTTGGTGTTTGTGAATACAGATGTGCGTATTTGAGCGTTTGCCTGTTGATGTATGCTACTTTCTCTTTGTTAATGTATTTTTCTTTGGTGTTTGCCTGCTCATGTTTTCTTTAGATGAAAACAGAAGCTTTTCACAGATGAGTTATTGTCTGCTTTATCCACATCCACAGCTAGTTTGCATTCTTTCAAGCCCGTGGCTTTGTTCACTTTGCAGTAAAAAGCAGTCAGGTCTTCCTTTTTGTACCGCTTTGGCTCTCCTTGTGGATTTCCCCCACATTTGCTCATGTTAAGAAACAACATCTTTAATCTGAGTCACTGTCAGCCGTGAGGAAAGAAGTCTGTGCTGTTAAGGGTAATGATTCTCTTAATGTGAAAATGAGTCTGAGAAATGCCAGAGATAAGAGGAGCCAATTTAATTATTTTGAATCGCTTAAACGCATCATCTGTGGCATTCTAGCTCCATCTCACCTGTTGAAGGTTAATTTCAGGCTGAAAACGGCTACTATTTTAGGTTTCTCATTAAGTCCAATGAGTATGGAAATCAAGAGATTTACACAGTTGGGTTAGAAGTCTAACCAGCGACAGCTTAAAGTGGACCTATCATGCTATATTTGAAACATATATTGTAGGGCTAGAGAACTGTCAACTGGGGGGAGCCTCGCTGCGGGGAAACGGCGGACCTCTTTCGGTGCAACTTCAATGATGCCTTTTAAAAACATAAAAAATTAAGGGCGGTGAAGGCCGTCAGCGAATCGAGCCCGGCCCTTGATGACCGGCTGTTCTGTGATTCTCCAGATTCTCCAGATGGCCAGTCCGCGGAGGTGGGAAATACATACCGGAAGTAAAAAAAGACGTGCAACGGGAAGGTGTTCCCACGGGAAACAAAATTTAAAATATTAAATGAAACAATCACATCTCTTAAAATTCACAACTTATTATGAATTAAACATTCACAAAATTATAATTATGTATTCACATGTTTAACTCTGTTACATATGCACGCAACAAACAGAAGAGCGTATAGGGCAGAATTAGGAGGGAATTCCGTCTCGTAGCGTTTGTGCACTGTTTTGAAATGCCGCTCCTAAATTACCCTTCTTCGGTAAAGCCACGCTTGCATTGCAGATGAGACGGATGGATTTTGAATTGGAATAAACAAAAAAATAATCATCCTCCCACTCGGAGTGAAAATGATATATTTTGGGCTTTTTTGCTTCTGCAATAATTGCGGTCTTGTGTGTGTGCGGACTGTCACTCCTGTTGACACTAACGCTAACTAGTGTCCAATGCCCACCAGCCACGCCCTGATACATCGGGTCACACCAATCACAAAGCTTTGATGCGTTCAAGTGCATTATTCTGGCACAGGAAGATTATGTTATAGGACATTAACGATAAAACTGAATATTGTTGTTCTATTTTTAGACACATCTCGCGATCGACTGGGAATCTCCCCGCGATCGAACGGTCGTTCGCGATCGACTGTTTGGGCAACCCTGGTCTAGTTAAAATGCTTTGGTTTAGATCACTGCTGTTCACAAAGAAGCTGAGGATTAAACTGGGTGCGCTGTACATGATTGATAAGATACCCTTTTGGGGGGAAACATTAAAATAATTACAGATGGTAATAAAAAATAGACAGATATGTGTCCGATCATTTTAAGTGCATGTTGGATGATGTGGTTGTTATACCGTTTTTCATTTAAATTTTTGTTTTTATTTTACATATTCACATGTTCTTGGCAAAGATAGAAATGAAGGCTTAAGTGCCAGCGTAATAGCTACAAGGTAGTTGTCAGGCTCCTCTAATAGTGCAACACACAAGATAGTTAAAATATAAAATAAATAAGTACAAAACAGTGCAAATATATAAGTGAAAGGAAGGAAGTAACAAGTCAACTATGTAAATGGAAAATAAAATAAGATAAGCCAAAGATATAAAATGAAATACTGTACAGTGTAATAAAAGGAAGATTTTATGGATGACAATTATATATATTTTTTAGTTTCAAAACATATTTAAACCATTCCCATTAGTAATGATACACATTTTTACACGTATTTTTTAAAATGTTTTTATTAATTAATTCACTCATTTATTTATTTTAAAAATGTAACAGGAACAGTGCACATTAGTTAACATTTCTGTGTAGGCGCCAGAGCTTTTTCTATCTGTAGTCGCTGGACAGATGTTGCAAAGTCACTCAAAAACACATTTTAAAATTATAAAAATGTCATAAAATAATTTAGAAACGTGCATTATAGAGGCTCACAAAGGACAAGTGAAAACAAACAAAAAACATATACAGCAAAGAGAGTGAAGGGCAGATGAATGTCAGGATGAGGTGGAGGAGGAAGAAGGACGAAGAGGTGACTGACTTGAAACAACCCGTTACCATGGCATCACCCCCATGCTATAACTAATTACCCCAATCACCCAGGAGGCTGCAGAGCCAGGAGCAATCACAAATCTAAATGCATTTAGCCTTTTGACCCGTTTTATTTCCTATTCGCTCAGACACACATCAGATTGAATTTTAGTAATTTCCAACTTATTCTCCACCCTTTTCCTTTTCTTCACCGTCACGACCTTTGGCATGTTTTAAGAGGATCAGCTGTTGGACCCACACGGTGCTCTTCCTCTGCGGTGAAAGGTGCTGTTTGAGCTTTTCTCACTGCGGCTGCTGCAGAGCTGAACTCCAGAAGCTCCGAGCACAAATCCTTTTAAGGGACCGTTCGAGAGCCAAACTGAGGGTGTGGTGTAGCGAATGTCGGTTTGTCATTTTAAACCTTTTATTTGGTTTTGAAATGTAATTTCCTCAAAGCTATTGGAAGTTCCCTGTGCCCGTTAGGTTGCTTGATTCTTTTTTCTTGAATATTACGAAATATTTTGAAGCTGATACAGCGAATAAACCAACATAAGAAAACAATGTAAACATGTGGAGTTACACTGCATATGAACCCCATGGAATAATTGCTTTAAGGTTTGCTTCTTTTACCCTTATTCCATTGAATCAGTTAGGTATGGGGCATGTTAGGTAATGATTGTCATTAAAAATAAAAAATATATTTAAAAAACATATTTTTATTTTATTTTTATTTTTAATGAACAAGGTAAATATTATATAGTTGGTATCAGTAAAATGTATAATCTACAATAAAATCTCGTTTAAAATTGTGTTACGATGTCTAAAGTTACTGATAAGTCACATGTTTCCTGCCTGGCCGCAGCGTGTATCATTACCCTCTCTCGTCTGGGCGGTAAGAAAGGAGCCCTCAGCCAGAGCAGCAGCAGCCAACACATTGCTGACTGTTGCTATCAGTAAACTATGCCGCCGAAACATAATTTCAGCCAATCAGCGTCATGAGATCTGATGGTCACAGGGCGGAAAAATGTAAGCGCCCGATGCAGTCTGTGAGTTGTTTGGAATCGTATCCAAGGTGACGCTATAGTCAGTAGTTGATGTGGATGGCTGCGT